ATATATGCACTGAAAATATTCCACATCATAGCCAAACACCTTCCAAGACTGGTTTTCTGGGTTTGAAAGTATAGGACCATAGTCTTCATGGAACACCTCAGTTAATTGACGTAACATGCAGTTGTTGTTAGATGCTGTCGAGGCAGCTCCAACTCATAGAAACCCCATGTACAAGAGAACAAACCAAGGTCTGGTCCTAAGCTATCCTCATAAACTTTGTTATGATTGAGCCCATCATCACAGCTACTGTGTCAAACCATCTCATTGAGAGTCTTCCCTTTTTTGTTGACCCTCTACTTTACCAAGTATGATAGCCTTCTCTAGGGACTCGTCCCTTTAGACAACATGACCAAAGCACATGAAATCAAGTCTGACCACCCTCACTTCTAAGGAGCACTCTGGCTGTACTTCTTCTAAGACATATGAGTTCCTTCTTCTGGCTGCCCATGGTATTTTCAGTATTCTTTGCCCACATGACAATTCAAATGCATCAATTCTTCTTCAATTTTGCTTACTCATTGTCCAGTTTTCACATGCAGATGAGGCTATTCAGCATACCACATCTTGAGTCAGGAGCACATTAGTCTTCAAAGTGATATCTTTGCTCTTGAATGCTTTAAAGAGGTCTTTTGCACCAGATTTGCCCAGTGCAGTATGTCTTCTGAGTTTTTGACTGCTGTTTCCATGAATGTTGATTGTGGATCCAAGTAAAATTAAATCCCTGACAACTTCAATTTTTTCTCTATTTATTACCAATGTTGCTTATTGGTCCAGAGGTAAGGTGTAAAGTATTATAATTAAGGTGCAAAGACCTGGAGTTAGAAAAACAAAAGGGAAGAACACACTTGGCATTTCTCAAACTTAAATAACTGAAGAAAAACTTCAAGCCTTGAGTTTAAATATTGAAGGATTCTGCGGGCGAAGTATTGAATGATGCAGAACCATCAAAAGAAGTTTGGAAGAATACACAGAGACACTGTATCAAAAAGAATTAGTCAGAGTTCAGCCATTTCAGGAGTCAGCATATGATCAAGAACTGATGGTATTGCAGAAAGTCCAAGCTGCATGTAAGGAATCAGCAAAATAAACAAGGCTCCAGGAATTGACAGAACATCCACTGACACATTTCAACACATAGATGAAGCATGGGAGCACTCACTCATTTATGGCAAGAAATTTGGAGAACAGCTACCTGGCCAATGAACTGGAAGAAATCCATATTTGTGCCCTTTCCAAAGAAAGGTGATACTACAGAATAAGGAAATTATCGAACAGTATCATTAATATCACACACAAGTAAAATATTGCTGAAGGTAATTTAAAAACGGTTGTAGCAGTACATCAATTGAGGACTGCCAGAAATTCAATCCTGATTCAGAAAAGGATATGGAATAAAGAATATCATTGCTGATATCAAATGGATGTTAACTAAAAGCAAAGAATACCAGAAAGATGCTTACTTGTGTTTTATTGACCA